ATCTTTGAAGTACTGTGTTAGTTGTTTAGCGAACGTAGAGACATCTGGACTAAGCTACTGCAAAAAAAAGGAAAAAAGAAATCTTTACTGGGAACATTCTCCATAAATATAAGATGCTACCGGATAGATGTATATTAATTAAGCTAACCCACTTTTTGGTAATTATTCATGGTTAATCAAACCCGAAAAAGGAGTCCCTTGTTTTGACAGATGAAGACACCTTCCTACAGATCTTGCACGATTAATCCAGCATTTCTAATGCCATGACATGCATGGTGAACGTAATTGTAGAGGTGTACGTAGTTTTTTTTTGCTTTGTCAAAGGGGGGAGAGGTATATGCATGAGGAGTTCATATCTTTGCGGCCTTTCCTCTGGTACGTGCTAACACTCGGAATAGAAATCATTAGCCAAACCAAGTAGTTGAAGTGGCGACACTGAGAAATACGTATAGATCACATGTATGGGTTTCATTTTTCTATCGAGTGTAATAGGAAAAATCTTCCCAACTTCCACGTGAGAGGAAGTGATTGATTTCCTCTTATATATCTTTCCTTGTGCATGCAGACACCACCCCAAGCCGATTGCTTCACGCAACGAAGCGTCCCTCCATGGAGAAGCCACAAGCTGGGTCGGCAGCGCAAGAGTGCACCGCTCCCTCCACCACCTTCGTCCGAGCCGACGCCACCACCTTCAAGGAGCTCGTCCAGCGGCTCACCGGCCCCAACGAGCGCGACGGAGCCCACCGCCCGGTCGTCGCCCCCGCCCCTCCTTCCTCCCCCACCAAGCTCTCCGGGCTCAAGCGGCTTCACGAGCGCAGGCAGCGCTCTCGGCCGAAGCTCACCATCCTCAAACCGGGTTCCACGTCCAAGCCCCCTACCCCTGCCGTGCTGTCGCCTTCCGTGACGGGAGCCTCTGCGTCGCCTTCTGCTGACTTCGCCGGACTCAACATATGCGAGCACAAGGGCGTCGACGGGGCTGACGAGTTGGACGAAGAAGAGGAGGAGAGGGCCATCAAAGAGAGGCGGTTTTACTTGCACCCGTCGCCCAGGTCTCGATCCCGGAATCCCGAACCTGAGCTGCTGCCTTTGTTTCCACTGACCTCCCCCAGGTCTCACCAATCCTGAGAACTGCACATTTAGTCACTGTGATTTAGACTTCTTTGAATGTGATATTACAGACATGTTTTCTTAATTTCCTTTTTTTCCACACAGAATAAAATTGTCTTCAAAGATAAATTATACATAATGGTTAGACAACACTGTAATTTATGGCTTAGGTTTTAAGTTGTGGCCACCATTAATAATATATGATCTGTGAAAGTAACTAACCTTTAGTTCATTCTATATTCCATCTTGTACTACACATCTTGCTCTTCGTCATCAACCTTAAGATCGAACAGTTTCCTCATCACCGTCTCCCACCCGAAGCTTCGTCCGCAAGCCTCCCAAGCTTCTTCCCACAATCAAGCCTTGCCTTGCTTCCCAAGCTTCTTCCGGATAAAGATTTGTTCCACTGCCGACCGCATGCGCTGACACTCTCCATGACCGGCCCAAGAGAAGCAGCTCCAAAGACAAAAGTTTCCGGTCCTGTGATCTGGACGATGCTCAATTAATTCTTGAGGCAACACAAGAAGAAGCTGCCAAATCTAACTACACCATACAACAACATTGGAATAGAACCATCAATATATACCAGAAATATAGCATGACTCCTATCATCCATTCTCAATAGCAATGAAGCAGTACTTAACTTCAGCAATTTAAGTTTGATGCAAAAAACTTTAGATCTGAGATATGCCTGTTCGTCCTCTCAAGCATGACACAAAGTTTTCTGCAGATCACAAAAAAAGTTTTTTGCAGGTCCAGTTGGCAGCCACAGTTTAAGACAAGTTGCAGTTACGATACGGGAGATCCAATCCAAAACATAAAACACCATTCCCGTGAACCACATCCCATTGTCCAACAAGTTCAAACATCAAACTCAGCATCCAGCAGTGGGAGTTTTACACCGACAAGTGTTCAGCACCATCGTTTCTTTACTGCCAGAGAAGGCTATGCCGGAAAACCGAGCTCTGATTTACCTTCCCCACTCGAGAGATGGATCAGGCCGCTCCTCAATCTGCTCTTTTGGAGTATGTGTTGCGGTGCTTGGCGGTTGTGGGCTTGCAGCCTGGGTCCAACCCATGATATGCGGCAATACATACTACGAAAAAGCAACATTGGGTCAAATACAACCAAGAATCCTAATTTGTTTTAACAATTAATAGGCATGCAGCAATCTTCAAACAATCTCAACCAGTATCTTGTGCAGTTATCATTCATATTAGAAACACCATAACCAACTTGTATCAAGGTATAAAAATTTGCAGAGACTAATCTGATCGCAACGTTTTATTTGGTCAAACAACAATAACCAGTTTCTCTGGCCAGCCTATATACATTGAAACTCACTACGCCCAGTATTGACATGAGCCTATTTTGTTTATTCCTTTTAGGAAAGTCATTTGCACACATCTCATGTTCAACACATGATAGACCAACATTACAAGACCAAAGATTAGATAACACAAACTATAAATAATTTATTGTTCATTTTAGATTACTTGTGTAAGCCAAGAACCAAAAAAATTCCCTTACGACAAGCTATCTAGTAAAAGAAATAATGTTGCCTTTTGGACAGCACAAAGAAAACTTTAATCTTCAACAAAGAGCAGGCCAATGTCGAAATAGAATAATGAATCCCACTTCAAATTATTTATTTTTTACTTATCAACTATATAAACTGAACAGGAAAAGAATTATAGCAAACAGCAATGTGCATCAGCACAATGTTATTGCCATAATCTCCTGTCTTCTCACAGATCTCTGTAAGCATAATATGAATCTTTCATGAAATTTCAAAAGTAAACTCTTGCATTAATGATGCATGTTACGAACACCTAAATTGTATCACTATGTCCACATCCAAGGATTGTTGTTTCATGTACTGAATCTGTGTCAGTCCCTGGGTGGACCATACGTATTGGTCAGTATCAGTACCGATGCAAGGTGCACCAGCACATAGGACAAAAGGACAAAAGGATGGGGCGGTGTAGGAGGAGAACGAAGATGAAAGGAAGAACGAAGAGGAAGGAAGAAGAGGAGGCATTGGAGGAAGAGGATGTGCTGGAAGAAGAGGAAGAGAAAGGAAGAAGAGAAACAGTGGAGGAAGAGTACAAAGGAAGAAGATGAAATGGAGGAACTGTAACTATCAACGGCGCCGGCGATCAGCATGAACAGCTCACGGCAGTCGACGTCGATGGGCGAGAACAAGAGGTGAAAGGGCTCACATTCAGGCGAAGGGTGCTTGCAACAGTGAGTCCTAAAGTATGTTTATTTATCATTATTTTTTTAGTAGTTCGAACCAGACTGCCCGAAATGGAGGCTGGATCAGAATGTTCCTTGCCTCGCCTGTTTTTCACCTGGCAAAACATCAAACCTGTCAACATGTCCACTAAAATGGATAGTAAACTGAGTAACTTCAATCGGACAAGAATGAATCTAGTATAACATTTATGGACATCTCATGCATTTAGCTCTGGGATACCAACATCTGGCTTGTAAGTATGTACTCATAATAAGATCATCCCATTACAGAAGTAAATTAGACTGCACAAATTTGTGTCCAAACGTAGTTGAGCAAAAAGTGGTTGTAAAATGCAAATATTCATATTTGCTATTTAGAACTTCATGGATATGTAGATACAAGTTCAGGTCTATCCAAGTGTTTGGAAAGCAATGGGCACTGGAAGCAAGATTGCTGTCCACCATTTTAGGGAACCACCAAACAATAAAATAAATAAATAAATAAATAAACTGAGAAAGAATATATTATCAAAATCAGCAATTATGTAAATTCTATTTAATTCAAAAAAAGTATTTCTAATCCAAACTTCGTGCATAATGATTAAGCATACATGCATATGCATTCGTGAAGCGAGAAAAGAAACAGGCACGCAAAACCCACCATATCTTGGGGATTGGTTAACAGTAATGTGTGTTAAATATAAAATTCAGTCAACAAGAAATCTTGCAGAACTATAAAATAACTGGATAAACTTAAGTTCCATTAGTCTATGCTAGTCGTAAGCACTTAACTTTGTGCACTGGCCAGGAGCAAAATCGATCAATAAAAGGAACTGGAGTACCAATAACAAAAATCTTACACTTAACACTGTACGAATTGCTGTGAACTCAGCCTTTGTAACTGGAACAGAGAACCGCTCATTTGTCTTCTGGATGTTATTTACAACAGCTGTCCAAATCCTCAAAAAAATTATGGTGTTAGGACTTTGCAAAAAGAAGTAAAAAAAAAAAACATACATTTCACTAACTGGCTTATCTAAAAGCAGACAACAGAACCAAATGCAATCATAATAGATAACATCCAAAATTTAGGAAAAGCAATCCTACTTCCCATCGAGAACTTCAGAAACTATAGGCAAACTTACAAAAGAGATCAGTCTAAATGTACATTCAGTGTGCCCCTTTTAAGTAAAAGACCAAGTTTCTATTGATCTCTTCAATTATAATTGCTCCAGACAATCACAATTTACCACACAAAGTGTAACTCAGTAGGTCGATCAATTTACCACTATTTTCTTTCATATTTTCATTCTAAACTTACAGAAGTAGACTAAACTTATAGAATTAAGAGGCTTTTTCAAAACTGAAGGATTTGATAACTAAGACAACCTTATTTTCCACGTATGCAAACAATCATCCAGTGAACATAACGTCAGATAACTGCTCTTGTAAAAGGTCCAACAGATACTACTCAACGGTGCAAAATGTCAACTAGAATTGTATAGCATGAATGACACTCTCTTCTTGGTATCAAGCTATAGTCTCTTTGTAAATATGTTAACAGTACCCAACCAACCAATTTCACACTCTCTTTTCTTGGGATCAAGCTTTAGTCTTTTTTTAAACATGTTCTTAGTAACCAACCAACCAATTTCCTTGTCGGGCTGACAGTGATAAAAAAATTTCCTGGAGGTCCTTTTCCAGCAACATAGATTTATTGAAATTGGCAGATTGCTTTAATTACAGGGGAGAAATTACAGTGCATAAGTAATAGAAATGAAATGCCGAATATCTGTCAACATACAAATTGTAAAGGTCATTACAGGTCAAGTCCTTCTGTACACATGCGCTCATGAAGGATAAGCTATAATTTTGATGACAATGCTATCAGGTCTGTTCTTTCAGTAAGTTGTGATCAACCAATCCAAGGAATTGGTTGAAAAATGTATAAAATATATTAACACCTTGAAATCAGTCACAATAAGATAATAACTAGCTGGAACTAACCAAAACAAATGAATATGGCAAGAAATGGCTGGGACCAACCAAGTATCAGACAGAATAGGTTCAAACACGTTTTGGACTAGATAGAAGTCACTATCAGTTGCAACGTAGTCGAGTACAATTGATCGCTCAAAAAATATGAGGTAACATCCAACTCAAACTTGAGAGTATAAAACACCTACCTAAGTTAACTGCTTTCATCCACTCTATGAGACCCAACTCCTACAACCCACTTGCTACTGGGTTAATATTTTGGTATACTTTAAGTCAAAAGGGAGTTAAATTGGTTTTTTTTTTTGTTGGAGGGGAGTTGGGTGTGGCAAAGTGAGCATTAGGAAAATTTGCATCTTTGTTTTTGAAAATTCTAATTCCTAATTCTTAAAATAATCGTTTTTCTTATCTTGATCCACAATACTATAATTTCGAATTTTGGTTTTGGAGCCCCCACAATGAATTATTTGAAATGCTCAACCATCATTAATTATCTTGGCAAGTAAATAATTGATAATCGATCTTTGAAGTATATAACTAACTAACTACATCTATGTTGTTCATTGCCAGACTAAATCTGGAAAAAGTTGCTTTGTATCAAAGAGGAGGGTGGCACAGAACTTCATTAAATCTCATGAACGTCCCCCAAGTAGTTGCTCTAAGTTAAAATCTAAATTAGAATAAACATCTGAATCAAAATCTTCACTAGCTCACCCTCTCCCAATGTTTTGGTAGGGTCAATTAGGAATTCATATGTGACTTGAGCAACATCCATAATCTTTTGTTATTGTAAAACAACATATCTCACAAAAAATTTTGTTCAAAATTAATTACGAGATGGCAAAGGCTAGAGTAAGTCATAAATATCAAAAAACCATTTCAGTATCACACATTTTCAACTCTGAAATGAAATACAGTTGCAAAGGAGACAAGCAATATATAGTTGGCTTACAAAAGTTTAGAAGAATTCCAGTTTTATCTTTCATTGGGGAAATTGATAGTGATTTCTTCACCTGGCCTTCAAGGCTGCAACTCAGTTAAAAAGTGGATACATTAGAAAAGAAATATGCAAAAAAATGCAATCAACAATATATGATCAATCTGGAAAACCTTGATTTCATTGAGGGATCATGGAAAAATTCACAAGATTCAGCAGGTCCCAGGCCAATCAAGCTTCCAACTTCAGTAGGTGACAGAGCAAAGGCCTATTAGCAAGCAATGATCCCATAAATCAACAAACTATATCTAAAAGCATGTGGTTCAGCAAAACATATCTTCTAAAACTCAAACCTTATTTGGTTGATAATAGCTAGACAAATAAAACAACAAAGAAAAAAAAGGCTCAAATAAGAAAATAAATTCAGGAGTAATGAGGATGAAATTCTTTACCTGCTTCTTTTGCCAATCATACTTTCTTACACCAACGGCAGGCCAAAATGTCAAGATAACACAGCCTTTTTTATATACTCTAGAAACCCCAGACTGGTACAAAACAAAGGTCAGTTGACAGTTCAAATCAAGATCTACACCGAAACACAAAATATATAACTTCTGCAAACAAACAGCACATACATCCACTTCACGGAAAGTTGGAAGAACTGGTGACACTGACAAGGCAGCTTTTCCCTTATAAAGAGCGTATTCTGCCTTCCGTCTAACTGAGGAGCTTCCTGTAGGAGAAAATGGTGGTAAATCAATGCATTTGTCTGTTAAGTTGGAAAGGCAACCAGACTTCTGATTGAAATCCATACCATCATTCACAAGATCTGGTCCAGAAGTCGTAATACTATGTTGACTAGTCAACCAGAAAGAATCCTTTACATTAGTGGCTCTCTCCAGTATAGAGCTGCCAAGTTTACAAAGAAGTTCGAATAGATAGAACGACCAATTCACAGAAAAATAAATCCATACATGTAACTGATTATATACTAGAGAATGCATACGCATAGCCAGAAAATAACAGATAAACCGAGCTTTTAGATCATAAGCAAATAATAGCAGACTCGGTTCTTTTAGACAAAGGTACTACTAACACCATTACTCACATACAAAAGATTACTATGCTGACCCGCCAAACTTAGAACAAACCCGAACCTTCCCAGAAACTGGCCCATTTATCTTTGAACGCTTGACATTAAGATAACTCGTTCGCATCGATACCAACTACCATAGTGTGCAAACCTAAAACTATCATTTTACATTCTCTAACACACAGAAGGCCAACAACTGGGTCATGCTTACCAAAAGGTGGGGATAACTAGTCCAGAACCCTTTCTTGTACTTTAGAGACCATTTGACGAACAGTTGGGTTACACAATGTGACAGATACCATTTCTCGGCAGATCTTTGTCATATTGCTGGAGGTTCCATATCAAAGATGAACGAGATCGAAGGGAGCTTCATTTCGTTTGGTGGGATTTAGCAGAGGAAAGAAGTCAGAACAAGACAATAGGGAAGAGGGAAGCATCGGATTACCTGCATGAGAGGAAGCGGGAGGTTCTTCTCATCGTTGCAGGAATTAGGGCACCGAGGGGTTGGAGCCGTCCCGAGGTTTAGGAACGCTGGAAATGCCGGCGGTGCTTTTTAAGACAGGATTATTTTGCGGCACACGAAAGGGCGGTCAGGAATCCTGACCGTCTGATTCTTATCAACGATTTGATTATTACTCAAGAAAACCACGAAACAACACACGATAGGTCTGGAGAACTAGGTGTCGATCACGAAACAGCGAACACGACTTTCCTCCAACGCTGATCTTTGAGCCGATGTCGTGCGGTCCCCACAGAAGAGGTAAAGCATGGCGTGGCAGGTCACATGGGGTCGTCGCTGTCTCGCCACAGAGGGTAACTCCAGCCAAGGGAAAGCCCACGCGATTTGAACTGCACCTCCTTCTATGGCATCACGATGTATTAACAGGAATGATCTGATTCGGATCAAAACCTTTGATCAGACGAGCGGCTCGATCGGATCGGATCGGATCGAACCGACCTGGTTTAACCAACCTGACCCGACCCAATTGATAAGCCATGCGGGTCGGATCTTTATTTTCAAGTCAACCTTCGCAGGTTCTTCCTACCTATTTCCACACGATCCGACCCGACTTAGTTGCATAGATCTCCCCTTTCAGTAGTCAACCACTAACATTTGTCAACAACCTCTACAAAACACAGTTCTTTATTTACTTTCTAATCTGGATGGCAAAATTGCACTCTAGTTTTCTTTATAGATTGCAAATTGGAGATCTGTGATTTTAGCATTCCCAACAAAACTAATAAAATAAATGTCCTCTTAAGGCATTTATTTTCACTTGACAAACCAAACGAACACATCAAAAGAAGATCCAACTCGACTCCCAATTTTGACTCTGACAAATTGATAATGTTGGCTAGTGAGAGAAAGCAATTACCTCCCCTTGACCTTCTCGTCTTCCTTTCGGTTCTCACAAGCCCATTTGACCGGAGGGGACAGCAACAAGAGCGTTGCATGTGAACCTACAGTGCAACACGTGAACCACTCCACAGATCTCCATGTCGGCAGCCTCTCGCGCCCAACCTGTCGATGCCCGGTGGCCAATGCTGCATGCTGATTTCCAAGGATCACAAATGGAGATGATTTCTTTCTGATGATATAAGCTTAATGACAGCTTTATGCAACAAGAGATACATGTCGATAGATAAGGCAAACAAGTTCTCTATTTATTATGGTGCATGTTCCTAACCGATGAAAGTTTCATGTGATGTAACATATGGAATGGAAGTCATAACACAAGGAAAACAAACAAATGCACGTACTTGAGGGAAGAAACTTGCTTGACAGATTGGACAAAGCAACAATGTAAGTATCACAGTGGAGAAGATATGTACAAGTTCTATTTGATGGCATGGAAAAGAAGACGGTAGTGACTTCCATCATCCTCTATCCAACTTCCTTTCCCATCTCCACCAAGATCTGACAGGAGCTGGTTTTGGCTGCCGATCACCTGGGTTTTCAGATTTCCGGCAACGACCAGCTAATTATGAACTGCTGCTCCATCGTTAGCTGTTGCCTTGGTCGAGCAGCTTCGGAAAGAACAAAGAGGGTCTACGTACGCACACAAAGCCGGCTGGCTGGCCGGCCTACCACAAAGAACACAACATGCACTACCTTCTAGTGTCAGCAACCCTAATCAGCAACCAGAGCCTGATCTTTTGAGCTGTTTTCGGTTGCATCAGCATCACAAGAGGCTTTCTTGGGCAAAGGCCTGATGACCTTGCCAACAGCCGGAAGCTTCACCCTGGGAGTCAGCCTTTTGGCCTCCTCACAAGTGTAGATGTATATTTTTCTCACCATGCTGCAGAACTCACTGCAAATGCATGAAACCGAATCGAAATTAATATGACACCAGCATACATAAACTAATTTGTAACAGATCGATAATTGAAGAATTCTTTTTCGAGTAGCTTTTGCATAGTTTAGTTCAAGGAAATGGATTTAGAGCCTTACTGCCATGGGTCATCACCAACCATCATTATGTCATCCTCATCATCTGTGTAGATGACCTCCCACTTTTTTGCTGCACCGTAGAGCTCTCCCTCAATATTAAACATCTCTTCCAGCTTCTGAAGAAGCTCATCATATCCATAAAATCTAGTCAGATCCACTGCCCTCCCAACTGCCATTCCTTGCATGTGAACCTGCAGAAAAAGAGACGATTAAGCCACCTCTCAAGCATCATACATTCTTTTAACATAAGTTATCTACTGCTAGCATCTATATCTAGAGAACTATTTTAAGGTTTTATACTAGTGAAGTTGTACCGATCATAGGAGTAGCAAATGAGAGAGAAAAAGCAAGTTCTTATGACCTTGGTGCAACTCCTCAATTGTCTACTTTGACACTCTTGGGTTGACCTTAAGCATGACTTCTCCGGCTCACTGCTGACAGCGAGGGCATCAGACCTGTTGATGTTTGATGGTTGAGATTGTTGATCTGATTCCACATCCAACGATGTTACTGCTTGTTCCTCTCCAACACAAGAATTGGTAGTCAGTGGAGAGAGTTCCCCTACTGCAGAGCTCTCAACTAGCTGAATTCCAAACAGCCAGCAGCCTGTGCTAGTTTCCTGCTTCTTTTCACTTTGTTCTTTATTTATGTCTGCCATCAAGGAATCAGTTTGAGGTTCTGTCCTGAATGGCCAGTACATGGCGCCATTAATAGCTGATGGTCCATTATTTCCATTAAATTCAATTGACTCAGGCTTTGATGCTGATGGGAACACAGATGTGGGGCAGGATGGTGCACACAGTTCTTTTCCTCCCTGCAACCCAGAAAATGAAAAATTTTGGGTACTCTCAGCGGTGGATTTCCATAAACCTGCAACAAGACAGAAATGTGATAGCATAAGGACTAGTGATAAAATTTTGAGGAGAAAGACTAAAAGAAGTACCAAAGTAAATACGTAAAACATAATCATTTCATGATTCTTCAAATGATGTGGGATCATCTCAATTAATGATATCGCTGGAAGACTATAATATACAGTTTTTAATTTATGTAAAAAGATCAAGCATGCATTATCAACACCATAACTGAAGGAATTGCTGGTATCTTGTATTTTTAACCTTTGAAAATAAAACCAGGATATGTTGAATCCCAAAAGCAGATATAGTTTCTAGTTTCTACACTAAACCAAAGACTAGCTTTCAGTTTTCCACACAATTTCTTCTGTCAGTATCTCTATTGAATACTTTCCTGTAGACTCGAAGTGTGCTTGAGCTTGGGATGGGAATCTGTAAGATGCACAGCCCAACTATTGAAGTAATCTTAAACAGCACTAACTCTCTACACTACAGCAGCTTTGCACAGACATCAAAACTAGAATTTGATGTAAAAGCCCACCCAAATGTCCAATTCAGCAAGGTGACAACATGGAGACACAGAAACTTGTAGGAGAAGAATATATAAAAAGGTGAGATAGTGCAACATGTTCAATAAGAAGCCTAATATCACAAAAATCATTAAAACCACCCATTTATATTCTTTGATACCAGTACAATATACCAATAAAGAATCTAGTAATATGTGTAACTTGCAACACTAGACTCGAAAGGGCACTGCATTATGGGGACAATAGTGTTACATATCTATAACAAAATAGCCAAATAATAGATATTTGCAGTCCATGGGAAGGTCTAACGTGGAATTAGTGATGAATCTATCTTGTTTAGAAAAATCTTGAAAAGAATGAGACAATAAACAAACTGAGGAGTTCCAACTACCTTGTAAAAAATGTTACTAAAGGATAAAGATGTGGAGAAAATCAATACCAAATGCTGGAGTAAGATCTGATGATTCAGCTGGTGCAGCTGATGGTCGTGTACGTTTGTTTCTCTGCACTGGTTGAAAGGTTGGAGGAGCAGCTGCAAGAAGTGGTTCCAATTCCCACGGAGAAACTGTGTCTGGACGCCGGATACACGAAGGTTCATCCCATTGAACCTAAAAATAAAAGTCAAACCACACCTCATAGCACATAGAAAAACATCCAGTGACTCGTAAAGTGAAAATCACTGATACAAAACAATGCTGATTTATAATTTCCACTTGGCATAAATCTCATCAGCTCATAGCAGGAACTCCCTACCTTTAAAGTTCTCCATTCTGACCCTGCCCATTGAGATGTTGTGTCCACACCAACAATAGTGCCACTGAACCTGTAAAAATGGATAATAGTACCTGGTTAACCACAAAATATACAGCATAATATATTTTATTTTATGCCCATTACACACGACCAAGAGCACCTTTTTTCTGGAGCTTCATCACCTTCAAATCTCATATTAAATCTCATCCCAACAGAGAATTTATAATTCTTGGCTTCAAGATACTTGTTGACGCTTATGATGAAGTCCGATCGACTTGTCCTAAAACATGAACAATACTTATAATTCTGTTTTTAGTTCTCATTAAAAATTTGTGAATTTGGATAGATATATAAAGCAAACTCCTAGTATCTTACATAAGCATGGAGCATTAGATATCCAGCAATAACCAGATAAACTAAAACATAGAAATAAAAAACCAATGTAATATTTAAGGTTTATATTCTCATCAAAATACCTATTGAAACATTGAAACATTTCCAGCTCAGTGAAGTAAATATTTCCTTCTTAATGAAAAACAAATAAGTTGCATAAAGAAGTTGGAGAACCAAGCATCTTTCTAAACCTAGAGCTGTAATCCAAAAAATAAAAACAAACAATACACTACATACATTATGAACTCGTAGTAGATAGAGAAACTGAGGAAACATGAAAGAAACTAATAAGTAGATAATAGTAAAAATCTAAAGAAGAGACTAACCTTGGTTTGTAGAAAACAGAAAAAAGAGTCCCAGTAGCAATAGCATGAGATGCAGTAGCCAGAACTCCAAGATGCATGCTATGACTGGATATGACTGACGATGGCATGTTATTTGGCTGCCTCATAAGCCTTCTCACACCGACTCGCAGCTCATCATTCTCACCTCTGCCATGTACACACATACAAGTATTTCATTATCATTTCTCATGACAAAAGCAAATTATCCAAGGTCCACAATAAGCATGACATATTTCTTGGAAGATAAATGATAGATAAATAAATTCCAACAAAGTAACCATGACCTGAGAAAGTTAAATACATCACCAGCTACCAATTTCTTTGAGCTAACAAAGACACTCCAACCAGTAGTGAGCAGATGGCGCCTGGGCTGTCCTGAAAGAGAATTTGGAACTCAAATTAACATATTTCACTATTGAGTCCTGCTTGTTGTGAGAAAAGATGACAATGTCTATTTTACAAATACAAACATCTATCTAAACAAATGCTAAGCATTAATAAAGAGAGACTACCAAAAGCCATTAGCATATCCAGACAACCAAAAGGTAAGGATAGTAGCAATCATTGCCTGGAAAGGCATACTGGGATAGACAAATTCTCCTATAGACAAGTAGTGAGGTAATCAGAGAAATGGTGCATTGAAGTATAGTAACTTTCAACACCAACATTTCTCTGATTCCGGAAGTTCTAGATTGGAATTCAGATGACAGAAGAAAACTTTTGACTTAAGTGTAATGTCGAGCAACAAAGCAGAAGACAGCATCTTATCACAATCTGACAAGATATATACAAACCTCGAAAAATGTGACGAAAATGCCATTCATTCCCATGAAGATCTTTGGCAACCAATTCTTGCCAAGGTGGGTTCTGGGACATATCCTAAACAAACAAGAAAAGTACCAGTGGACAAAATCAAGAGAAAGTGAAAAGAAGTATCAAATTGCAAATTCAAGTTAGCAGCTATATATGATGAATGGAAATAGGAATTCAAATTTCAAAATAGCAACTGACCAGTGAAGGAAGGCACTCATCTGCATGCCTTCTAAGAACTGAGAAACCCCCATGAGTGCTTGTGTCTGATGCAGTTAGAGTCTTACAGAAGGAACGGACATTGCACCTTTCGGGCTCAGCCAGTGGTGAATCTGGGCTGGTAACTTCATCTTGCTAATTAAATATAAGAAAATAAAAAGAAAAAAGAAGTCAGCAGAAAAAAATATAAATTATGCTTGAAAATATAATTAAAGCAACATAAAATGAAATCAAGAACTAACAGCAAGTTGACATGAAGGAAAGCTACCGGTTAGTTAATATGATCACTCTAAGGTCATAAAATTACTAGAAACACAAAGCCCTGTTTTTTCTCACGACAAAATCACAGTACAAAGCAAAGAATAACTAGGTTCTGATTTTTTTTTTTTTACAATACACTACCCTTGCAAAGCATCTTTATAAGGACAGCATCTGAGATTTTCTAACTAACATAGACTACAGCAGGATCTACGAGTAATAGATAAATCAAGAAAGACTCACATTTACTTCAGGTTGCAATGTAATCTGCGCATATACTTCATCTGTATCTGGTTCAGCCTAGAAAAGCATATAAAACAATAAAACACCATTCCCTCCATGGGTAAATTAAGCATGAAGAAAGACAAAAGAGAACAAAATCTAGCTTGGAAGTAATTTACCCGGAGTTCAACATGGACAACCCTGCATAAGATCTTTGATGGAAGATCAAACAAAGGCATTTGCTGGTCAAGCTCTTGATTTGTTGATGCTTCAAGCTACAAGTCAACACAAAAAGAAATTAGATTAAATATGTGCATCTATCTCCAAGTAGGCCACTTTAACAAAATAATTTGAACTCATAAACCACAATGAAAATAAGGTAACATGTTTCAAGTATAATGGATCTATCAATCAACTCTGTTGTCCCAAACAAGGATTAGAGGGGCTACATCACTAGCAGCTGACAAGTGATATCAATAATAAGTAAGAAGTTGATATATTCTAAAGCATGCAAATGTAGATCAACACAAATGATCAACAAATCACAAGCAGGACAAAATTGACCACGGTAATGTCTCTTGCTATATGAAGCAGATAATCAAATAGATATACAATTAACTACACCAAAATCTTCTTAGTACCTGCTCCATATGGCCTTGGGGAAAGTAATAAACCCTTTCTTTTTCACGAGGTAGAGTAACCAAAGACCCTGCACATGCTTTCCATAGTTCCTGGTACAAGACATCTCCATAGGACCCTAGATATAGAAAATTTCCACCAGTAGTCAGGAACAACTTATAATAATGATAACTCAGCATCTTAGAACCATGGATTTCTAAGAATGACCAGTGGTTAATAAGATGATAAATTAGAAGTAAACTACCTGTCTTAAAATGAGAACATATTTTTCTTTAATTAGGAAATAAAAAAATCTTTGATGCAGGAGGGATTGTCAAAAATGAGGCAAAAGAAAGCCTAAATAAGTTCGTTGACCACATTTATCAAGAACCAGAGTGACCCTAACGGCGACGAGAGAAGGTGAGCATCCAACACAAGGAATGTCTACAAAATTAGGCATATGAAAGAAGAAAGAAAAAACATCCAAAAGCTACACAAAAATCCCTTAAAGCAAAAAAAGATGATGAAATTTTCAAGGGATTCAAAGCCAGTTTACTCATTGGGTATATCTTGAAATTATTATTTACTGTCATAATTATCCAAAAAAAGATTTAGTCAAGCGAAAAGACCACATATCAATAAGAAAAAAAAAATGAAGAAGAAAAGGGAAAGAACATCAAGCATGAGAACAAAAACTTTAGCTCTGTTACATCAAACTAAAAGAAGAAAATAACGGTAACCTGAACCGAGCCTTGCGGATGAACTGTTTGGTGGTGCCGAAGCCATAACAACTGACTGAAATTTCTCAAGGAAATTATAAGAACGCTGGACTTTACAGAAGAAAACAACAAGAACAGTTGGCTCTGCAGTTCCGAGTTCTGAAAAGCAGCTTACATACTAATAAAAGCCCTCCTGATTACCGCATTAACTCTGAAGCAGCACCATAAGTTCTTCCCTCGAACAGACGCCCTAGCAAAAGGCCAGCGGGTCCTCGATTGCTTCGGAAAAGATGCGACAGCTAAAAGAGCATCTGAACTCCTACCTCTGACCCCTCTGCAAAATTGACGCTTTTGCTCCTCGTGACAGAGAAACTCTAGCAGAAGGGCCTCGGGCGACGCCCCCTGCTTTTTTTCTCCCTGCCACCCTTCGAAACGGACGGAGCTTCGTTCTTTAACGGCCGTTGGAGGCGTAAAGGCGCCCTCTTTTCACTACCTCCGGATTCACCGCAAGCGCTGCACCAGAAAGGCGCCGCCTTTGGCGATAATTTTCCACCGTTAGCACAGATCTGAGGCAACGAAAAACCAAAGTGACAAAAAACGTGTAATTTGCTCCACTCCTTGAGCATAAGATTCCAATGTTCTCAGCGAGAACCCAAATCCAACCAGAAATCTTTTCTGTGCACACATAAAGAGAAAGTAAAAAAACTGACACAATTACAATCAGATCAAATCATTCAAACGCCAACGCTGAGAGAAGAGAGAAAAAGGAATCTACCGCAATTTCCAAACTTGAAACCAATCCGCCTCTCCGGAACACCACGGAAAATCCAAACTCCAAACCAAACCGAGCAATAAACCTTCGGACACTCCCAAAATGGAGGTTTCCGCCAAATTCAAGCTTGGTATGTTCAGCTCTACCGCGCGAACCGATCGAGGGATCTTCTCCAAGACGCCAGAACGACGACGCCACCGCAACCGAGAAGCCGAGGACGAACCCTATACATCACCACGAAGGAGGCGGAGAATAATACGAGCAAATGCGCGGAAGAAGAAGAGGCGGGTGTCAAGGAACCACTCCGGCTTTAACGAAGAGAGCGACAGTTGTTTTCCTCATTTCTTTTCCTTTTTTGTTCCTTTCTTTTACTTGCTGTCTCTACGAAACCCTACACGGAAAAATGCTGTTTCCCGTTTCCCTATCGCGATCCCGCGTAATTATCCTCTCCGTCCATCGTACACCCGTCTCATCAGACGGTCTCCTCCCCTCCAATATCGATGAGCTCAGTCCGGATTCCATCTCTTCCCCGTCTTTTATCCTGCTCCGAGGGAACACCACACAGTCTCGGTTTTCCGAAACACCCCTATTCTGGCACCCAAATAACGAGAACGCCACCGCCTTTCCTCGTTCCAGAAGGGCCACGGGGGAGCGCCACGTAAGCACCGGGACCGGCCTTTCGCTGATCTTTTAACGATGGCTGACGGCGTGGGGAATCCATCTGCCCGTCAACGGTCCTGATCTCATCGGACAGAGCCGAATCCCTAATGGTCAATTCGCGAGACTCTCAAGGGCAAAAGTGGAAGAGGAGCCTTTCCTAATTTAATTATGATGGCTTTACAAATTGCGTCTGAAAAAACAAAACAAATAAAAATGAGAAAGATGATTGATATAATTTATATTTTAGAAAAAAAAATTGTAACTTTAATTTGGATTAGAAAATAATGTGTGGTCCCCAGTGGGGACCCGAATCCTGGCCAATCACAACAAAGCAAGCAAAGGATCTAATTATAAAGCTCCAACCTCGTCATCATCACACTGAAAGCCAAAGCCTTAAAGGTGAGGGGGTGTCACATGTAATGTGAGGCTGTCTAGCTTTCCATATGCCTCCATAAAGTGGGTTTGGTGGGGAGTTGAGGGTGATGATTAGTTCCCTATAATTTGATGATGTCCTCGTTATTACCCCCACATATATATATATATAACTAATATGATAGATGTCGATGATATTGAAGTCAATCAGATGATGTATGCATAAGACATTCGAGATAATTAAGAAGATAGTTAAGATGCCTAGATCTTGAATGAGACATCTAAAGATCCTTTAATGGAAAGTTAGAATTGAGATGAAAATTAAAATCATTAATGAACAGTACTATCTTTGATAATAAAAAATCAATATGCTTTATAGTTGGCTGAATCAAACAAATTGAAGTCAATATGACAGTTGTGATTGGGGTAAACTTCTCCCTATCACAAACTAAAAATATTATAGATATATATATCATATGATTAAATACAGCTAGTAGTTATTGTCTACTTAATCAGAGGAAAACTCCAATTAACAGTGATACATATCATTTCAAAAAAAAAAAGCTATATATCCTATTATTTTAATTATTTTCATATTCACATTCTAAATTCAAGTCTAGTATTAGATAGAGAGAGAGAGAGAGAGAGAGAGAGAGAGAGAGAGAGAGAGGGGACAAGAATATATATCTTAATATTTTGATGGATGGTAGGATGCACATAATATACTATCCAGAGTGTGTTGCTTAAGCCTGAGGGAGGCCTGGCAATTGTTGGTGTCACACTGGGCAGCAGGTCAGGGGAAGAGGTGGCATCCATATTACATGATTGGAACCTGAGTTGGCATGAAACATGGTACCAGTTGAACTCATTATATGCACACACACACAGACCCAATTCATTAATCAATGGTCACACTGTCCACTGGCATTTGACAAGAGACAAGATTCCAGGTTCAACAAAAACAAAACTATTCTTCCAAGTGGAGGAAAGACCAGTGGTTTTGTTCCCTTGAGGAGGGGATGGAAGCAATATTTTATGTATATATTATTATAATATACATATAATATTCTATTTATAATATCACCAACATATTATCACTATCATCATCTAATACATGCTCATCAAAGCCTTTTCTCTCTCTCTACACACACACACACACACACACATTTGATGTGCATGTATTAGATGATGGTAATAACAATGGGTTGACTGGGTTTTGTGTAGTTTGTTTACTTAAGATAGGTTGGCTTTTGTGCAGAAGGAGCAAAGTGTCAGCCCAAGAATGAGCTAAGCTTGCTGTATGACAGTTTCTTCAACCCATGCAATAGCACTCTTTTTTTTTTCTTTTTTTCCAGAAATGGAGAGAATTATATTAATTTTAAAATCTGTAATTACAAAAGTCAACCTTAACATCTCAATGAAAAAACAAAAAAAAAACTAGAGAAAAAAATCATTAGCCAAAACAGCCCTATTTGATCTTTCAAAATTTACACTGTAAAGTTCCTCCTCTCTAACTGTGACTGCTTCATAAAATTACAACCTACAATCAAACAGCTATCATTATTAGCATCTCAGATCAAAAAGCTGATATCATTCTTGCCCTCTTGATCGTAAGAATCATCATTATAATCCATATTGGGTCTTTCCCATCAAACAACTATAAGAGACAGTTAGGAAGCAAATCCAAGGTTTGCAAAATCAACCATAATGTGATAAAAAAATAAGGCCAACCCAACAAGAGTACTCTAAAACAGCATGCAGTAGTACTCTAAAACACAACAAGAGTAGCTATTAGGGTTGCTGCAGACGAGAGAAAGTTGTCTACATGTGGTAAAAGGAAGATGTATGGAGAGAAAGGAGGAGGATACAAGGAACACAGACCTAAAGAAATATAGTTGTTAGTCAAGCAAAACAAGTCTGATGTAACAACATAATTTATATCATGCTTCTTGTTGATTAGAGCAAGATTTTGTCTAGAATGATTGATGACATAAAATGAAAATAACATAAGTAGTCTTAATGATATAGTAATGCAAATCTCTATCTGTTAAATATGTTTGACATGGTAATTAATGACTTGCAATTGCATGTCACATTTTTGTCTTCTATAGGATCCCTGCTGCTGCTGCTGATGCTGAGGCATAGGTTCCATTGAGGCCTGCACTTGAATGTGGTGACAGCTGTGGAAGACCCATTAAGAGATCAGTTGGAAAGATCAAAGGACAATGTTGGAGTTTACATCACAGTATCATTTGGCTACAGGTGAATCAGCCCTGGTCAAAGTTTTCTACTAACCAATGATAGTGAGCAGAGAATAATAGTCTGCATCTACCAACAGTGTAATGATCTGAAGAGCACTACATATAGGTTCAGAGAACAGAAGAAAATAACTCCAACATCCAAAGTAGTGGGAAGTAAAGATTAGGGAGGCATCAAATCAGATACATAGGGAGGAGCACATGAAAGATCTCTAAGAGGTGTGGATAGCAAATGACAAGCTCACAACCACTAAGAATGGTTGACATGTAGTTCTAAGCTTAGCCAGTATAGTGCACTCCAACATAAAAAGTCCAAGTTCTTAAGATAGATCTGAGTGGACAAGGAAGAATTCAACTTTAGGAATTGAAATGGAGCCACTGAGAGTTGTGAATGTGAGACCAGAGAAAGAAGATCCTGATGGCAAACTCCCTTGCTTCAGTATCCAACTTGAGAGCCTAACATAATGGGCAAAGAAAGAAATGGAAGAACAAATGCCCACACCATTAAGCTCCCAAAAGATTGATGATGTTTTAGAATCATTGCGTGGAACATACTGAGATGTAAGATTGTTCTTTTACGATCTAGATTGATCGATATTAACTCTCTTCGAACTGGATAACGGTATAAGTCTGACATATTAGACCATTTTATTTTATTCATGATCCAAAATTCAGAAAAGGTAAAATCCTTATCAATCAATTGTCATGCTGATCGAGATTCCCACCTCTACATGACCAATCACAGCATCATCAAACATGGAGATAAAAGTGATGCTCCTATTGGCGCATTTAGGCTTGACGAAACAAAAGGTTTCCTCGTGGGAGCTCCAAGAGCTTTGGCATTCAGTTCATTGCTGCATTAGGAGTTACACATGGAAGGTGTCACTCAGTGGCTCTTGTTGGCTTCGCTTTCCCCCCACAACTATTTGAGGGGCTCCAATAACATGTCTTACACTGCATGTGGACAAGAGATACATGCCTCACCCACTGCGCCTCCTCCTACTGAGCAATAATGTTCCACTGCAGTGCTCTAATGGCTATCATGCCTCATCATGGATTGCAGAAAAGAATGCTACTGCAACAGGAGGTTCTACTGTTCCAAGCGACTGTACAGGCCATTGAGTTAGGTCAGGGACACTGTTGTTGGCTGCTTAGATGCTGGTGAATGCTACAAAGATCTGCGACAAAGCAAGGCCAAGGATGAGGATAACCCGCAATAAGCTACTGGGATTATGTCTGAGAGATCCCAAGAGATTCTTTAGCTTTGGCTTAAACAAACACACACACTCACACACTATTATTTTATGGTGAGTTTGGAGTGATGCAGTGAACTGAAAGCTGATGTTTCATTCTGACCTAACAACACTAAGGCCGGATATACCTCTTAAATGTGTTTACAACAACACTGAGACAATGATAAGATAGAATTCAGGTCTTTGGTACTGTGACAATAGTAACATGAGATTTAAAGATTATTTGATCATCCATCAAGCATATCAAGAACAACACATACCAGAAGTTTATTTTGTTCATTTGGACTAGTAGAAGCCTACATATGATCGACATAAACAAAAAAGCTTTTGGAGTTTTCGGCAAGGCAAAAAATCAATCAACCAATTGACAAACAAAGGTCCAACTACTGATGTACATCTATGTTCTCCAAAGTACAAAATATAAAAAATTATAAGATTTTATGTTCACTAGTCCAAATTAAATACTGTGGTTTGCCTATTTTCGATTGCATCAGTCGGTAGACAAATGAATTCCAAAGTTCATGGCTATAGAAACACAAGACATTTTGGAAGTGTAGATTTGATTTCAACACTTCAGTTTTTTTCTTTTTTAACATTTTAATCTCCGATAAACTTTTCTCTCTCCATCATTCGTATATGATAATATAGAGATGTGAAGATAATGACTTACATGGATAGCTCGGAGATAGCTCGGAGAGGAAGATGGTTTTATTAGAACAAGGTTTTGTTTTAATTTTATAGGAAAGAAATATCAGCGAG